TGAACACCATCGGCATTGACAAAATCACCATCAGTCAATTGCAAAAGGCAGCTTTACTTGGTGCTAAAAGTATCATTGCAGGATATAAGTTGTTCCAACACCATCGAACAACATCTGCCTATCCCAGGTCCTTGGGAAGAACTCGATAGGCGGACAAAAATGCCAAATCCAGTCTACACATCTGGCTGACTGTGTGACCAACTGCGATAACAATTTATTAAACTTGTATGCCATCTGACTCTCAATGACGCTGGGCAGCTCACAGCAATCAAAGAAATTACAATAAAAGACAGAATCACAAGGCTCACTGCTCAGCCTTTGTCTGTAATGGAAGAAACAGAAATGGCCAGTAGGGTCTCACCCCAGAACAGTGAGTTAACCTTTCCCTCTGCAGTGCAGCTTATTTTTCTTTATCAGGACAAAACCTGCCCTTAAGGAGTGCATTCTTCCAGGAAAGAGAGTGGTGCATGCCCAACTGCCGAAATACAGTTTATCGTTGTGATTTGTCATTCATTCCATAAAAGACAATCATTTTTCTTACTTTCTACTCTGATAAACAAAGTTGACAGCTAGCAGCAAAACCAAGTCTTACAACTCACCTAATGTTTAAGTCCAGCAAGATTTGCTTCTTGTTCAAGCCTGTGTGAACTTTGACTCCAATGATTTTGAGGGGCTAGAAACAAAAGCAGCATTGTTTCTAAAGAAATAAACATATCTAGAGGCATTGGTCTTCACTCCCATTCCCCCAGCAATGCTTCATTATGTATGGAGGCAACCAATTCATTGATTTTGTATTGAACTCAAGGCTTTATTGATGTATCTCCTTTTCGAGTAACTCTTACTACTTTCTGAAGACTAGTTCCCCACCTGCCACTCAAAAGCTAAGTGTGGCCCATAGCCCCCCAAAGGCCCCTACCTCTGAAATACCTCTGCATCTTTAAATGCTCTTTTCATTATTTTTCAGATTTATATTCTATTTTATAAATTGTTGTTTTATGGTGTCTTATGAGTATGACTGTTATGGAAAGGTGAGATAGAATCTGCTGGTACAAACCAAAAAGTTTATTTTTAGCTGACAGATGCTGACATAACTTTAAAAGGATGCAGTGTGAGAGGTCCACGACTCTTGACAATGGGAAATAGACAAGCATGGGATAGTTTTAATGCCTGTTGCACTGACCTACTTCAAGTGAAGCTTTCCACCCAATATTTTGATTAATTATTCTGTTGACCACTAATTACCTTTTCTCCCATGTCAATCTTGGTGAAGGTGAAGGTCTGCAAGTGGGTGTTAGAAGCCCGTATACTTGGGGCAATATTTTCCACCAGGAGTTTCTCCATGTACTGACCAAAGAAGGGCCAAGCTTGGGCCAGAATCTATCACAGAGTAAAAAGCACAGTCATGTAAGTATTTTCACACAATCATGTCATGGCAGGAAAGGAACAACTGAGCTAATTGCCTCTCACCTTATTGAGCCATTCGGCTTTCTCAACGTCTGGAAAACTGACCTAGAAAGAAAAAGAAGTAGAGATTATAACACTCCTGCTATGGGCTCCTGACCACACTGGAAACCACAAACATGCATATTCAAAGGTGCTGCATCATGCCTTAAGATGTGTCAGCAAAAAACTTGGTAACTTTCATAAATGACTATGAAGAAGAGAGATTTAGGTAAGTGATGCAAGATGAACAAAACATTCCCAGCATTTTTTTAAAACAGCCTATCAGAATTTAGTATTAAATTGGCATGTCCCTTCTAACCTCCCCAACTGTGTGACAAGTTGAGCTATTTATTACTCCAGTCCTTGACATGTCATTCATCATTGTTCTAAACTGGAACCTGAAAGCTTGCAATTCTCAATGTGCTTATCTGGGAGAAGATTTCACTGATTTCAGTAGGACTTCCTTCTGAATAGATGCATCTACTGTTATGCTGTTAAAACTCTGCACCCACCATCATGCTCATAATCTTCCTAGTATACATAACCCAAACTGTATGAGGTGCAAAGGGCTGGCACTGCTCGGGTTAGAAGAACTCTTGCAAAGATGTGGGACCTTGAGACTCCCAAACAAAACAGCAGTTATCATTCAAAGATATAATCAAGTCTAAGATGAGTAACAAAATTCCAACAGGATCAAGAACATGAGGCTCAGTCCCTTGGAATGTAGAGTGTTGCTTAGTCATCAACCTTTGCTGCATCAGCTGTTTGGTGAAGCAATTTTCTTTCTGCACTGTGCTTTCAACTGCTTGCTGAGGTGGGGGGAAGGGGGAGAAGAGGAGGTGTTGCAAGAGATGTTTTGTAAAGGGGGCAATAACTGATGAGGAGAGAAGCAGCTGATCTTTTCCAACATTCTAGCATGCAAGCACCAAACACCCCCCTTCCTGTTCCATAGAAATCTTGTTGATGGTAGAATAAGCAGAATTTGCTGCTGCATGTACAACAGGACTCTTCCAACACTAGCCAAAAGCCTCAGTATGTGACATGTCTGCAAAAGAGAGAGTTAGGGGAGGAAGCTTTATAAGATACCATCTACCAAAATCAGAAATCCGTTGTTTGAGGTTAAGGGGGTCTCAGATTGGGAGTTTCAACCTCCACAGGGTGTTGTGAATAACTTGGCAGGGCAGGAGGGGGGGAGTTGCCATCTTTTTTTTTAAGTTGTCTCTAGCACAGTGTTTCTCAACCTTAGCAACTTTAAAATGTGTGGACTTCAACTCCCAGAACTCCCCAGCCAACATATTTTCTCTTGCTTCCTTTTCTTAGCAGAGGCATAAGCATTTTGTGAGTTGCCAACCATACAGTATGCTTTCAATTATCCATATTACAGAACATCGTTTTGAAATAATTTTTATATTTATTTTACAAAATGTGTAAATGTATCTGTTGAAATCTGTTCTTATGTCAAAAATCTTGATAGAGGTTTGATTAAAACTTAATGTATTTTGTGGCTTAGGTTTTTAACACAACTGAAATGGACACAAGTCACATTTCTGCAAAGTAGACAAACTGACCTACTGAATATCTGACAAACATTTATCAGATATTGATACTGACTACTGATATCTGGGTTCAACGTCCCTTGGAAATAGTTCTGGTTTTTTGGCAACTTGCCAACAGGACACAGAGTATAGTAATCAATCAGTAGTCTTTGGAATGTCTGTAGATGTATACATTTTAGTCAAGTTCATGAACCCATATGATGATAAACTGATAACTAGTAATGTCAGTAGTACCAAAGAGAAGGAATTTATTTATGTTTCTTCTGACAGTTATTTGGAAATAAACATCTTAACACCACCTCACCCTCAATTTTGGATCAATGAGCAAAAGAAATTGAGAAGTTTATGATCATATTGGTTCCATTTCCATCACAGCAAATCAGGTTTTATTACACTTGCTCCTATAAAGAACAAATACTGAAAAATATTAAATGCAGAATGACAAATGAGAGCGTCCATCTCAAAAACAAAAGCCAGATTTCAGGAGTTGTGCAAAAATAAGCTCAATCTTCCTATTTAAGAAAGTTGGTTTTAGATTTGATTGGAAGTTTTATTTTATTAAATCACAGTTTTATTTTACTTAATACATTACATGATGAGAGTAGAATATTCATTCCTTGTCTACTCCAGTGCAGTGAAATGGTTAGTTTTAAATTAATTGTGATATTGCATAGTTTCAGAACTCCTGTTGTAGGGAAAGGATGAAACTCCATGAAACAATCTTACAGTAAATGCATGACTCTGCCTATGTGAATCTGGTCATTTACCATGGGCAATGAAAGCTCCTTTTAGATTCCCTCGACTTCTGTAGCGGGATCAGAGGCAAGACCAAGATGGTCGTTCTAGACAGGAAAAACAGAGTGAATGATTGCAAGTTATGCCTAAAGAGTGAAAAACCAAAGAATTTGTGCACCTTGGTGGGAAGTTTACTGAAGATGGGGAAAGGAATAGAGAAATGCTAATAGAAAGGCAATGGGTACGTTTGGTCTGTTGTAGGGAGTGTTTGTTGAAAAAGCAAAAATGTCTGTGCATACTTTGTCCCACTTTGTTATATCAAATGAAGGTTGAGTTTGTCAGGAGAAATGCAAAAGTAAGCTGAATCAATTTAGAAGAGGATGCTTAAATACAGGTGATAAACAAGACTGGGTCCAGAATGTACAGGTACTGAGTGAAAGTGAACCGAACAGAAAAGGGAGCAATCAGTACAAAAGAGGTATGTCGAGGCAGTTTGGTCACACAGAGAGAATGAATAAGGACTTAATTACAACACAAATATAAGGAAGGTTGAATGGAATGAGAGGAAGACGACCATGAAAATCATGATTGGATGGGGTTGATGAGATCCTGAAAAAGAGAGAAGTGAGAATTTTAAAGAACCCAAAGACAATGGATGAAAGGATGTATGAACAGGGTGGAAACAAGGATGGTTTGCAAGGATAGAAAGCTATGGAGTGATAGAGCAAATGGCACTGCTATAAACGGGACTTAATTATGTGTTTTCCTAACTCATGCCTTAATTTCTCTGGCTTACTACTTCTGACTCCTTTGCTGCACTTTGCCCAACAATGCAAAGGGAGTAACTTGGTGAATACCCATAACTTTTTGGGTAGTGATATCTACCAGCCACATTTTAGTAGCTCAATAATATTGCTTAGATTTCCCTACTTTTGACTGCATTGCCCATAATACTAGAATGTTAATAGTCTTTCAAGGCAACTTGTTTTTATTGCACCACCCCAATTCTGGATATCTTATTCATTTCCTTTTGCTTATATAGGCCTTTTATCAGCAAAATTTTTAAACCGAATTTGGCAATCATCTTGAACATCTGAAGAAAAGGCAGCAGAACAGCCTGCATACAGGATATGAACACTCACGTTAAGTCCTGCCATCATAAATCCCTAGCCTTGTTTTTTGTCTTTCTGCACTCATCCGCTCCCCACCCCACGTGAGCATTTTTTTAGGAATGCAAGTGGGGAAGACAGGGTAACCCTGATGATCCAAGAATCTGTAGTTTCAGGAACTGTGCAAGGTAAGTTGAGAATCTGGACTGCAATCTTACTCAGTTGCTCAAGCGTCGGTTCCACTGAAAGTGAACCTTCTGAGTAGAGAAGCACAGAATTGTGCTCTTCTTCCCTCCACAGCTCCTCCTTGCCCCAAAAATAAAGTATTAAAAGAGTGACAACTTCTAATTCACAGTGTTTCAAACTTAAGAGAACAATATGACCCACTTCCAAGCAGCTTGAATTGGGATGTTGTAACTAAAATGTCATAGGACAAGCTAAAAATGTCCCACCTTAAAAAACTTGAAAATAAATATATTTTGCTAAGGTTTGATTCTTAGAAAGAAGATATAAATGTGATGGTTCTGAGGAGACATAAAAATACAAGATTTGGAGCTGAATCAGTATCAGAAAGACTTGCACGTGTGTTTTGTATTTACCTATGGAGGGGAATTTTTCAGGTTTACCCCTTCTCTACAGCTAAGGTAGTGTGTATTTTATACATTTACATAAGCGCTAAGCAAGCACTACTTATGTCCTCCTTTCATAGTATCCAAACTAACTAACACCCCCCCAGGCCTTAAAAACCGGTTCTAAGAATTATCTTATACTACTGTATGAAGAAATGGTTAGGTAAGAAATGCTTAATTTAGTGAAATCTCAAAATGGTTGCAAAGAAGTCAACAGGAATTCCAGTCTTGGAGGGAATATATCATTAATAATAGCACAACATGCCTTCCCCATTCTTTTGCTATTTTTTATTGTTAGTTGATTTGGTTTTATGTCCTTTGCCCTTTCATTCCCTTCAAGTCAATCTAGTTGATTGTTTTAAATAATTATAGTAACTAGATCTTGGCATCAGATGAAATTCCTCAACACAGAATGTGGGCTTGGAATGAGCAGTAATGCTTTTGGCTCAGGAACCAAAGACGTTCGTCTAACGCTTGTTTCTGGAAAAGAAGATCAAGCAAATTAAGCTGTTTTCTCCACTTCTGAAGATTAAAAAAAAAGATATTTTGAGAAATGGTAAAACTGGAGGCTATTGTGTTCAGAATTAGTAAGGAGCAATGTGACAATATAGTTTTGTGGAAAATTATTCAATGTCCGTCAGATTTTCCGAATTCTTACCTTTCTTTGTGACTGATTGTTATCAGATTATGTGGGTCCTCCTGATACATAAAAACAGTCTTGAGTTAATAAATAACACAATATTTGGGGCTTGTCTCATCTATTTCATGAACAAAATCATCCAATATGAGATGTGCCAGTGTGAAAAAATAATCACCCTCTTACATTCAGTTAATTGGTTACACCACCTTTAGCTACAATTATTGCAATCAAAAGCTTCCTATCATTAGTAATCATTCTAGTACTCAGTAACATTTGGGGGTTTTCTAGCACGAATTGCTCATTTCTAATTTTGACACAACACTTCAGTGGGAGTTTGGACTTGACTTCACAATCCCAAGTCAAATTTGGTTTTTTTGGTTTTTTCACTTCCAAACTT